ACTACAATAACCATGATCACGTGATATCTCTGGTAATAACGAACTCTGGTTATAGTGAACAAAAACTCTTCAGCCGGACAGTTCGGTATAAACAGTGTCAACTGTATAGAAGTATTTGGGACCCGCGTTCGTTCAAGTGGAAGTTTCAATCAACAACATTCACAACGATCTTGCCAATATTTTCGTTTGTTTCCATGTAACGATGTGCATCAGCAATATCCTTCCAGTCGTATTCTCGATCAACAATGACTTTGAAAGTACCATGCCCGTCAATGAACCGTGGAAAAATCTTGTTGTAAAATTCGTCGCGAAGAGTTATCTTATACGAAAGCGAACGGGAGCGTAGAGAAGTGCCTTCGACCTGTTGTAACAGAAAGGTTACAGTTAGAGAAAATTTTTGTCAAAGCCATGGTATAATAATAATAAACAGACTTTCTTACACGTAATCTCTTCATAAGCAATACTGACAAATCGAAATTCTCTACAACTCGACCTAATGTACGTAACAAATTCCCCGTTAACTTTAGCCGACGTATTAAAAATAAATTTGAAAATACCGTATTGTATGGTTCTTACCTGATAAGAACCCCACTAAAACTATTCTACCGTCTTTAGCAAGGCTGTCTATGTTAGGATGCCAATAATCTTTGCCGACAAAATCTATTAGTAAGTCCACACCATAGCCGTCAGTATATTCCACTATCTATATTTACACGTAAAAAATACAATTCGGTAAATAACCAGTAATGCACAGAGTATACACGCGCTTATGTGATGCCAACTAACCTTATCTCGAAAATTCTCTTTCTTGTAATTAATGCCGTTTGTAACGCCGATTGACTCAATAAAGGCTAATTTACGCTCAGATCCAGCGGTTGCAAAGATGTGTTTTCTACAAGAGTCAAAGTAAGACAATTTAGATATACATGTAATTATACAATCTTCTACAGTGGCGCCATCAATAAACGCCACAAAGCGCACTACTTACGCTCCAGCTGCCTTTGCCAACTGAATGGCGGCGACGCCAACTCCACTAGCTCCTGCATGTATTAGTACATTGTCGCCTTGACGAATCTGACCTATTAGTTGTAATACTTGATACGCAGTAAACCATGCTTCTGGTATAGCAGCTCCCTGTTGGAACGACATTTCTTCCGGAAGAATCATAGTCATATCTTCGTGAAGTATGCCATACTGAAGAATAGATTATCGCTTGAGAATGCGGACATGCTGACAATTGTAATTGTGTCAAAATGTGTAAAGGCTTACTTCGGCATACGCGCCACCATCCGTTAAACCAAAGACATGATCTCCTCGTTTGTATTTGGTAACTACAACAATGCGTCTACCTTATTATTCAGCATACTATCAAATATGATAGAACCACAAAGCATATACTGTGTAGCATCTGGTGGAATATACGTGATTATGTATGGCAGATGTAATAATAGATCGTCACCTTTACTTCCAATTTTTTCTACGACTCCTGACATCTCAACCCCAAGGATCTGAGAAGCTCCCGGTGGAACGGGATATCTTCCTTGTCGCTGTAAAATGTCCATCCGATTGAGTGCAAAGCATTTGATCTGCAGTTACCAATTGGGATGAAAATTCAATTAGTCTTGATGAAGATAATATTATCTACATTTTATATTAATGAAATCTTACTTTAACAAGTAATTCGTCATCTTTTGGCAGAGGTATGGGAGCAATACCATTGTATAGTTGTGATGCGTCTCCTATCGTCGTTAAATTAGCCAACAGCCAACAATTACTTGGGTACTGTAAACGTAATACCCACCAGGCTCTTTGACAAGTACGGCTCTCATACTTTCAACGCTCATTTCCAAATCTTATTATCAAATAAAGACGCAGTATACTTATTATACGTCCCATGTGGATGCAAGTGATCGGCAGCTTCCCGATCACACGATCGCAAATGAAACAATGAGTTCATCTATTGAATGCACGATCATATGATACATCGCCAAAAGATCGACATTATTTTCAACTAGTTCAAAACGGGTATAATATAATCGTCATAGATATCTGAAGGTTGGTTCATTATGTTTTTAAATATCACACGATAACATGATTCTAAAGTATTTGGGAACGGCAAAAAGTGAACCTAGCCTAACTCGATGCAAAGGAAAAAAAAAGTTCAGTAACTAAGTACATAGCGAAGAAAAAGAATACGAGAATCATGCTCAACCAAAATTTCGTTGTTTTCAACAGGGTAACGAAAGCAGATGCGTAGCGTATCGAGACACGATTCCTGACACTGTTCATCAAACTATTCGTTTGCCCAGACTCTTCTTTCCGCCGAGTCTGGCCGTGATAATTTGCGCAGGGTGCGCCCAAAGCCGTATTGCTGTAATTGTCAAATTAGGGACATAAATAAGCAAAGAATGTGTTTTCCTGCGGATTAATGTCAAAATGGGAATTGAGTCGTCTGTGGAGGAGACCTCAAAGAAATAGAACTTAGTCAGAATGATGCATTAATGACGACTTTTGTTTCTTGCACTCTGTAGCTATAGGAAGAAGAAATCAATAACTACGGGCACACATCACGTTGAATCAGATCTGTACTAGCTGTGTGAATGCATCAATAAGAACATTGTTGAGACGTTGTTTGTAATAATTTGTTACACGGGATAAGCAAATCTTGTCATTACGTTTAATGGAGCTCTTAATATTAATGGAAATCCTAATTACCTGTGAAGGGAAAAAGGAACGGTCGCAAGGTTTAAAGAACAGATCAGCATGCTTCCGTGACCTAAACCGTAAATAACAAAAGTAACGGTATATCCCGCCTATCGATTGACGTTAAACCTTGAGCGAGAAATCTGACCTATGAATGGAATAAAAATAATGGAACCTCGCAACACCTGATTACAAAGAAACATAAAAATACAGCTTTTTATTATACTTTTGAGTAAGTACATTAGCGAGCATGAAGGAGCTTCTCTTGGGCATAACTTAAAATTGATTTTTTTAAAGTAAAAAACAGTATTAGGTAGAGGCTCTCGATCGGTCTAATAATATTCACACGTCCCATCGAACACCTCAGCGTAAACCATGGAATGATAAATATGTTATATATTGGTTATATTAGTAAACAGATATTGTCTACTAACAAATAAAATACATTTTGCCCAAGAGAAACTCCCCAACTCTTTTTTTCAATAAGATAGATTTTCAGTTTGAAATAAAATAAACACATAAGGGAAAAAATATACAGAAACGTGACTATACAAAGTTTGAGTGAAAAAGTTCAAGGGAATATGTATCAATAGGAGTTCAACAATAAGTATCACAACGAAACTAATAAACAAAAGTTTAGAAAAGACCGAGGCGCAAACTGCAAGAAAAATTTGACTCATAAATTTATATTCCAAGCAATTTAACCCTTCGCTTCCAATCCTCTTCCCAAAAACATGTGACACATATTCTTTCTCTCTGAATCAAGCCTCTCTTCGATAATATACAGGTGGCCGAGAATGATTCATGTTAGTTTCGTTTTGTGGTGGGTTACCAACAGACTCGGTTGCCCCCGTATGTGCCGGTGGACCCAGGGACGGCAATACCAGTTGGTTGTATTGAGTGAGCTGTCTGGGCGGAGAATAAGGTGAATTATGCGTAACCGAAGATTGACGGTGTTGCAGCGAAGGACGATGGTGGGAATTGGATGAATGTCGTGAAAGCGGAGGTGGAATATGACCGTGTATTTGATTGTGGGCGAGATTCATGGAAGGATAAGGTTCGGTTTGGTTGTTATGGTGCAGAAGAACGTTTACATTAACACTCTCCATCTCTCTTCTTTCACGCTGCTGCTCCTCACGATGTGTTTGTTCGCGCCTACGTTTATCTCGAGCGATTCTGCGAGAGTAGCGTAAACCGCATGCGTTGCAGAGACTATCGTCACAACAATTATATGCTACGTTAGTCATCTAAAGTAAACCATATAATCATATTAGATAATTGATCACTTACGTCTTATGACCAGTAGGCCCACGACGCCATTCCGGACTATTTGTCGTATGGCATCTTTCGCATTCTCTTACTCCATCTGGTACACGCTGATTAGAACGTATAGCCGAGCTCGTGTTTGCAAGCTGGTAAGAGCGAACTGGAGGTGATGAAGAAACAGCGCTATTGAATGACGGCTGGAGAGGTTGTACGTAACGTGAAGATTGGGGAGGTTGAGCGGAATGAGATGGCGATTGCGATACTGATAGAATTTGTGGGTGAGTATGTACTAGGGATGGCGGTTGTGGTGGTGATGCTGGGGGTTGTTGGAATGGATTCGGATGGCCCCAATGTTGCTGTTGCTGTTGTTGTTGTTGTTGTAATTGATCTTGCTGTTGTTGTTGCAATTGTTCTTGTTGCTGTCGTAGTTGCATCTGCTGCAATTGCTGACTATTAACATCAATAGTCGTTATATTGGGAAAACTAGGGAACGGATACTGTCCATAAATCTGATGCGGGCTCATTTGGGGAGACTCATGCGGAGACAAGAATTGCGGTGTTGTTAATCCCTGTCTTCTTTCTACTGCACGACGTTTTGATTCCATTCCCTCATACAACTCTGTGTCTCCTGTATGTTCGTGGGATCTTCCTCTTGATAGGAATGACAAAGATTGGACTGGAACCTGCAGACCGTAAGCAGGGGAGGAGTTTTCAGTTCGAGGACGCTTCCCAGTACAAACTGCTGAGGGCGGTGAACAAGGAGCTGAATATGGCGGTTGCCTAGAATTGTCTATTGAAAGTACTGCAGGCGATGAGGGAAGAATTTTAAAGGTAGCGAAGATAATCTCTCCGTAATGGATCATCACGCTATCCACTCGAAGATACATTCCAGATGCGAGTGGAATTACATGACTGTTTGAATAGGGACGTATACAGGTCGGAGAGGTGGAAGTTGTTGATGGTTGAACTGCAATGCTTTGGAGGAGTTTAGAAAAATCTTCTTTGTTGTATGCGTGCGGATCTGGCCAAGTGAATATGAGGTTTCTTGTCCGAGTATCGAGTATTTGAAAGATGCGTTTGGGTGTGCTCATTACTGGCTGTAGTGGAAGTGATTGGGGTGTTGCCGGAGGAGATTGCATGTTAATCGAATCTGTTGTCACGTGATTACGAAGTAACGTGGTCAGCCTAGTCAGTTCCTGTTGTTTAAAAGAAACGCAATGTATTATTACGAAACTGCGTTTTAGTAAATGGAACATTGTGCTTTTAATAGTTCTGAGTAATAGTTTGAGACTTCTTTTCGTCGACCGCATAAATATCGACGTAGTCAACCGAACTTGAAAACTCGTAATTTGATGGTGCGACCAAAAAGGTAAACCATTCGCAGCACATACTCAAGGCATTTTTGCCCGACCATGTGAGCAACTCAGTACAAATCGACTAGTTTGGAAAGTAACAAACCTCTTTTGTAAATTCCGATTCACCGCAAGTATTTGACTTCCCACCGTCTTCAACTTGGGAGCCTATAATAGCATGTTGGAAATTTTCAGAAGAAAGGAACAAGTGGGAAGTAAGATTAATTTGTGTAAGCGAAAATTTTCCACAGAATTTATCACAATTAAACTAGCGTATGACAGGCGTTGTTATAAGTGACAATAAATTCAAACCGAGTATCGATAATTATTATACTCGTTCTACCAACAGTCGCTAACAAGCTGACGCAATAACGACCAGCTCATCGTTCCGTCTACACTTTAGTCGTTCAAGGAGACCACTCACCTTCATCAGAATGAAAACGAGCGAGCACAATGTCTTGAGTGACAATGTCCATTCCAACCTTCATTATGACATAATTGTTCTCGATAGGTAGGGTGGTCGTGTGGCTAGGAGATGATGGTTGAGTATGGTGGGCATGAACAGGTGAATTCCTGCGGGCTGCGTATATACGAGACTGAGCTTTCGCACGGATGGCTAGAACGCTGTTGTATTGGCATCTTAGATAATAAAAGAATTATGATTGTGAGTCGAGGCGAATGAATAAAAACGGGAGGTAATGGGAGAGGAAGAAAGTTAAAGTTGTATCTGTGTGGCCGTATATATACATATATAGATTGTATGCAATTGATTTGGGCTAAGCCTCAACGCTGCAGTCTAATGTAAGTACAAATTTCCAATTGGTCATTCAAACCAACGGCAGGGCAGAAGATTAATCGTCTCCGGAATAATTGCATGATTTCCGTTATAAACGTTAAAGCTTGTGTCAGAATTTTGTCTTACTGCCTATTTGTTCCGCCTGTCAAGAAACCGTCAGGGATGATTATTGCTGTTGCTACAACAACTACTTTATAGTACTGATAACGATGAGGGGTTATTATAATATTAACAATTAGTGATCGCTATGTTATCTCTATCTTCATTTCGTATTCGTCATTATTGTTCACGCGCTTGCATATGTTTTGGAATCTATACCTTGTAACCGAACCGCATGTAGAATCTCTTTGTACAAACTTTGTCAAATCATGACGCGCAATTTTTTCTTCATCTGGGTGGAAGTAGTCAAAGAAAGATGTTCCTAACACAGCCTCATACTCTACTCCGAGGGCTTTGCGTAGTGAAGGCGATATGTAGACGAATGTCAGATCTCTTAAAGATAGGAGAGCCCAAAAACAAGCTAGGGATGACATTGTTGATATGAGCTGTGTGTGTTTGTGAAAAGTGTGGAAGACAAGAGTATTGTACGTTCGTTAAAGGGTAAAGAAGTAAAGTTTGGTGTCTTTAGGAGAATGTGGTTAGGGTTGTCTGATACTGGGCCGCACGCGTGAGTATGGGTTTTACTAGTTTACTCTCTTCTGATTAAACATTCGTTAATATCTTTGCGTATGTTTTGTTTTTATGTGTTGTGTAGTGGAAGGAAGAGGCGGTTTTTATATGAGTGGAAAGTAGTTCGTGGAATTTTTTTTTTGGTAAGAGAGTGTGGAAGAAGAGGGAATATACAAAGTTTTTATAAATTTTATGTAGTATGACTGTAACAATCTTACAATAATCAGTGTCAATACGAAAGCATTTATACTGTACGCATTATATAGCATGTATTCTAAATTTATACATTAATTGTACATAATATATATATAACTGTTAAATCCGAGTACAATAAGAAACATCGGCTATTTGAGGATACGTCAGATTTAGTTGGGCAATTCAATAGCAATTAAAGTGTAATACTATATATGTGTACACGCATATAAATAATGGTAATACATCTAATATAAAGTACAATACATATACAATAAAGTAACATATCCGTGGACTCAAAAATTGTCGGGTGAGATGTCATTGTGATAAGTAAGTGAAACTAATCACACACAAAAATACACACTAAAATTTACTCTTGGTTATCACCCTGAGCATAACGCAAAAGTATGCGTTACATGTCAGATTAGTAGTGATCATATGCAAAGCTCGAATGACAGTTGACAAAAGAAGAATGGGATACGACCGAAATGTCTACTAATCACATTGACGACTAACTTCTGAAGCGATCGAACAGAAAGATGGGGAAATTAGCAGAAAATATTTACTAAACATAGGAAGTAATAACAATAGCATACGTGCAAATAATACGACAACACAATTATATTAGCATGTATTATAATGGCAATATTACGTATATCTTCCGCATCTTTGGAAGCTTAGTTTCTATTTATAATATGTGCATGTATGCGCTACGATCTTGTCTCTTGCTTTCCGCTACTACTAATTCACATGCTATTGCTATTCCACATGCTCACTCTAATCTCGTTCGGTTAATCATTAACACTCTCTATCATCCGTATCATGCATATTAAAATCAGCTATCACATTTTGTACATAGATCTGACAACAGAAACCGCCTCGGTTGACGACTCACAATGAAGCACGCATATACACATCTCTATGTTGCTTTGTCTGTATTTTTCTATACTGCATAAGTGTAGGTTTCGAAGAATAATTTCCATCACGATCAACTGAACCGCTTGATAGCATATCCATCTCCGAAATCCGAATGTGTAAAAGATTTATTTAGGAATGGTTGAGCGGAAGTAACATGTGCTTTTTAGGGCGTGTAAGACCTATTGAAATATATAATATGTCGGTTGTAAAATAAGCGTGAGGGATCGGCTATGGTTACGTAACAGTTCTAGAAAAGAAGAAGATAACTTATCTGCGATATGAATTGGACTTTCTTTCGATTATGAATACTTTAGCAGTCTAACAACGTTCAAAGCCAAAAACTAAAACGGAGTTTATTGCCCGTGCTGTCACTTTGTAATTATTAGATTGTTCAGCTCTTAATAACCTTATTGCTAAACTAGTTATCAAAGTTATCAATCATCTCGATATCTGTACTCATTAATTATAAATACAAGGCTTAGGTTTAATGAATTTAATTGGTTTATTAAGGAGTAGGCGAAAATATATGGGTATTTGTTAATAAACGTTCAGTCATAGTAATTAATCTATAAGCTCAATTCATAAACTCGATTAGGTATAATGTTTTACATGGTCGGTAAACACCAGCATCACGATCGTAATATATACAGGAATAGATCCTTACGGATATTGCACCATATCGCATACACAAACCGCCAACATCAACTGATGTTCGATAAACATTCCGATAAACAACCAATAAAAAGTTGTCGATTATATTTATCGGCCTCAATCAACATGATCATTTTTCTGGAAATCCTGAAGGGGATCCTGTTCATACCCATTCTCTTTGTTAACTCAATCATCACAAATTTGTCACACACACGTTCATAAACTATACAGTATTGGATCGATCTCAGTGTAAATCATTTAAACCAAATATGTCTAGCGTAATCTATTTTTACCACTCTACAGCCAAACCCCGAGCGACATTTACACGGACGAATAGCAGATAAAGTAACACCTTGGTTGCAAATTGAATTAGTAAAGGGCGATGACAATGTTTATTGCGATGGATATGTGGGGTATTATTTATTTTCGTGCAAAGTATAACAGAGTCAAGGAGTGTCATGAAACCACTATTACAATGCAGTTTCGATTACCACAACGCAAAAGACAATCAATAATAGTTGCAATATAATGTAAAAAAATCCGGGCAATCCTTTAGGTCGATATCGAATAGCAATGACGAATGACAATAAAAATCATCCTTACGGTAGTAATCTATGACATTCTCCCATCATTTACTAGCAATATCGAGGATCATTATTAATTGTCGGATGTTTACATACTCTAACCTAATGTTTTGCAGGACATTACCCAATAAAAAGAAGATGCATTTTGAACCAGAAAGTATACTCTACTGACTATCTGAAATATATCGAATACCCCCTTCTTTGATTTTACCCTGCATTTTACTTCTCATTTGTAACGGACGCCCAATTCGCTTTATTGGCTTGTCCTCCAGGTGGCTTGATTGTAACCAAGTGGATGCAGTAGTTGTAGCAACGAAGAGTAGGTAATATATGATGTCATATATAGAGTGCAAACTAGTCACCGTAACATCGCGGTTTTCACTGGTCAAACGGGTTGCCTTATGTAATATGCAATAGCATATTGACTATGAACTATGTTCTGTTGTGAGTTGTATATTATTAATGAATTTATAATAAGTTCTCTTGGCAATTGTTAGGTGAATAGTGAAACGTGAAATAGTACGTAATTTTCTTGTGATAATAGCCTATTTTATACTTGGTATTCGATTTCATATTGCAAAATCAAAAGCCAAGGATGCAATACATGACGCATTTCCATATACGACGACTTAATACCAAACAAAATTGTGATAGCATACCAAACATTATTGTTATTATTGTCCCAAATTGTTAAATTAATCTTTCTTCTCCGGCCTTTGTCTATTACAAATGTGTAAGTAAACAACACGCCCCCCATATTACCAAGATGTAGACGGTCTATTTTCATAATAACGATATACACACATATGACGTGCAATTTCATTGTCAACTGTTTAGCTCGGTTACTTGCCAAATTTCCTCGTTGAAAACCCATTGCTTCATTAGGCATGCAACCGATAAATTAGTGTTTCTCCGAAACAGCATAAACAACATTTATGTTTGGAATTGAAATACACATAGAATTAAGTTTCTTAATGACATATAATCACTGTCTTATTTGAGTATGATCGTCAATTAGCGTTGTATCATATATTGCAAATAACACATTAATAAATAGTTAATAGGTGACAGCAGCTGAACGATAAACTTTAATGCAAGGCTTCAAATATCACGGATTAATGTCTAATCACCTCTACGACCACATTCGTAATGCTATCTTGTCACTTTTTTTCTCCCGTCGTCCAAAACAATACCTACCCGTCTCACACAAACTCCCATTCGGCCGAGTGTTATTGTAGATCAGCTTTATATTCCCAATATTGTCGATGAGGTGATCATTGTGTGACTGTGACTTGGAAATGTGATATATGTGATGTATGAACGGTTAGTGTTATTGTTATTTTCTCGTGAATACATATCATATCGATTTGTGTACATGTTGCTGTGAAGTGTGATCGAACCAACGATTGAGTGCTTTGGATTTTGACCGGGAACATTGGTAAAATGAGATAAATTAACATTGGCATGTAATATATACATTTATAATTACAAAAAACCTCTTGGTAAAACATTGGTATTTGTTCATTGTGCTTATTCGTGGTTGTCAATAATTGAAAGTCTGTATCAGTTGCTAAAGAAGTAGGTACTCAAGCATATTGCCAATTGATATGTCAATTCCATTGAAATCTTTGTTCTTTATGACGGCCGCCGAGAACCCCTCAATCGTTTGACTCTATGACGTACCGAAATACACTATGACTTATTTCTTTTAACCCCCAAAATAGATTATATCTGAACATCTACTGTTGTGTCACACGAATACTTCTTTGTGCTTTTAGTGTGGCAAGTGTAAACGATACAAAAATAGAAAATTACTGAATTTGTGAAAAAACAAGTTTCATTGTAGGATCTGATGGACGAAGATAAAAATACCATGAGCGAGATTGAGTTACAATAACAACGAATATGTGCAATTAGGATTATAAACATTGGCACATTCAATCATGAAATTTTTAACTTGATCGTGATCTCGGGGTTTTGTTAATTACGACATCGTGTGGAGAGTTTACACATATTTCCGAGTGCTTTTTTATTTGTTTGGTTCTTTTACCTTATTGACTTGGTTGTTGACAGCTTGGCGGACTTGGCTACATCATACTACAGATACACATGTCTTATATAAATTAAAACTATTTCAAATTATATTTATCTTCTGTGTAAATAAATTTACATTCCTCAAACTTTGTGTCATTATATGTGTACCCGTAGTATGAGAACAGCCAAAACTATCGATCGATTGATTACCTGAATCGACTCGAGCGATGCAAACAGTGAATTGTGTGTTAAAATACGGATATACCATTAATAGGTCCGAAGACTTCGTATCAACACATCATTGCCTGTTTGATAGTTCACTGTCTTGGTATCAAAAATGAGTCACATTACTACGTACTCTCGCGCCATTACCACCCACCTGTAACTCTATCAGCCGAAAGAAAAAGAATATGAACTGAACCTGTACCACAAAAATTGCCATTTACTAATTTATATGTGATTTGCGTACTGTCTCACTCTAGATGCATTTGAATAAGGGATAAATCAGTAACAGACGTTTTTGGAAATCACAATAAGAGATTTGTGAGGTGCGATAAAAGTAGTGAGACATAAGATTTTGGCAAAAAGACGCTTTTTGAATGGACGATATGGACTCCGAATGCCTCGACAATCATTTTATTTACTTTTGCTAGTTAGTGCGCTGCTATAATGACTCTCGTTAAATAATCAGTAAGCCAACGTGCGGCTGAGGTCTCGTGTCTTGTAATGCTTCTGCTGTACATATGCATACATAGAACTACTTGCTACCACAATGAGTGTTGACTGAGAACACCATTCATTCGTTCTTCCGTTGTACTATCGACTTATGCGTAAAGTCTGTCCTGAATATGTGTTATTCTTTTAAATTATAAATATATAAGCAGATACAATGTCCTACGTTACGTCCAAATTGACGACGGATAAAGGTTCTAATTACTTCATCCGTGCGTAAACTACATTGATAAGGCATGAAGTTGATTGTTTATGAAAAACCATTAGAGGCATAAAGATGTTTGTGTTTGTAAACAGATTGCGTGATTGCAGAAAGGAACAATAATAGATGAAAACTCGCCACAATATAACGGAATACGTAGCGTTCTCGAACGTTGTAACAACATCCGACTTGCAACCAATCAGTATTACATATACAATGAAACTAATATCCAACAGTTGATTGATATTTCAGGGAGGAAAATGCAATACCAAGGGTGATTGATTTGCAATCCCCGGGGGAGAAAAAGGAATATGAAGAACAATGACAAATAACAATTGCTAATAGTGACAAGTAACGAATGTTTACATGTAGACGCAAACATGGACTATTATAAATGAATAAGCTACTGTAGCGGGTAATTTATCGAACCAAGCAAAAGAAAAATAAACAGCTAGTTCTTGGCTAACATCCTTGATTTGTAATTAAACTAGCCCATGACTATGTTTTCGCTATAATAGTTGATGTGGCGCATGTATACGTTTTCATTTAGCACTCTATGCCATTTGTCCTTTTTTGCATCCAACTGCTCATGTTCCCGCTATCTCGCATATTTGTTGGGTTGATCCTCTTGAGATCAGCGTCTTCTCACTCTACTGAAAATAGCAAAAGATTAGCCTGCGGTAAATTATGAGCATCAAACAAGTGGAATGAGCAAATAATGTCCTGTATATGCATACACAGTAACCCCCCTTTCCCTTGTTGATATCATTGTGACTGATCAGGTATGACTATGCTGTGTTCGTGTTATTCTTACCCGTCAGCCAGCATATGGATAAATATGGTATTCCATTTCCTTTTTGAGTGAGTTAACATATTAATAATGCACTTAGAGCCGATGATCGATAAGTTTCGGGAATTGACACAAACATAAAGTAATTTTAAAAGTTCTATTAATAATATACACCATCTACAGGAAACAGGTTCAATATAAACGACGATAGTTAACGAATAAATGTGAGAGTATCCAAAGTGAACTATAACATAAAAAGAACATGGTAACGAAAAATAAGGATCACGGAACTTTACTTGGGAAGACAATAACAAATAATACAAATAATAGATAACAAATAATAACAAGTCATTTGACCGATTTAGCGCCTTGTAAAACATATCCTCACGTGACATTACCAACTTCAGTGGCACCATTTTTCATTCGTACGTTATTCATATCATAGAGCTGTCTTCAAAATAATCCCTTTTATTCACGTCAAATCTCGAAATCTTAACCATATGATTCGCATGGTTTGTAAGCAGGGACTCGTAATGTCAAATAGGGTTATCGTATAGAGTCCGCATGGTTCCTACACCAATAAAGTATTTCATTTTTGACTTAAATTCGATGTTATTACGTAGCCAAGCGTATTTATGATGGCATTGGGGCGAATTTGAATTTATCCTTCATATGCTGCCAAGATTACGTTCCGATATGAACACTAAAAACGGCACAGAAACTCGGATATATTAAGAATAGACCGATAAATGTAACCATTTATATTAATGTTGGTCAAATCGGAAGATTATTCGAGAATGCCATAATCTCGTGTACACTGTAAATGTGACCGATCGGCGGGTATCTGCGGGACGAGTATACGGTACAAACAAACTAAGCCGATACGGTCTTAATCAACCGTGTTGCTACGAGGCTAACGATAACGAATAGTTACTCCCACGCAACCGTTTTGTCAATTTGCGATCTCACTTTATCCAGACGTACCCATCTTTACCAATGCCATTCCATATTATTACGCAATTCCGTTTAGGCTCGTGTCAATAGACGTTTTCCCGAGTGTTCAATCCGGTTTAGTGGGGTAATCTGTCTGACCTATTAAACACAGAATTTAGGGAAATTTTTAAGATAGGTGTCTGTCCGAATATATAATGTGCATTTGGTTAGTATTAGTGAATTAAATGAATCTAATTATTCGTTTTATGTGATATAATTATAGAGTTTTGTATACGTGCAAATGGGCTGAGTCAAATATTAAACAGAATAACAGAGAAATCATGTGTATTTCCCATGATGGGGAAAGAATCTATTGTACTTGTTATCTGGTGTATATAATAAGCGCTTGATTGTGACAGAAAATTATAATAGAAGCAGTGAGCGCGAGACATAGACAGCTATCATGGATCGAGATGTCCGCAAGATTATCATTAGTTATGTGAACAAAAACTTATAGATATTAGTAACATGGGATATAAACATAGGGGATAACTATTCTTGGAGTGGGGTGGCAAATAAAATATACAGGATAAAGCTAGCGTGAATACATTGTTGATAACCGACTTAGATTAAAATGTCAAACACACATTAAGTGATTGACAGTACGAATCATAAATTGTTATTTAAATGCCGTTACTATAACTTGTTTTCCGTCTCGGAATAATTATTCACGCGTTTATCCTTACATTTTATATGTCGGTTTCAAAATACAATCTCTATACACGTGTCAGGATATTTACAAAATAACGTTGTTTCATGATCTTCTGTTTTGCCATTCAAAGCGTCATCATCTGCCTCTCGTTTGCAACAAGCATGAGGTAACAAGTTATTTACCGATGATTAACGGGATCGACCAACCCAAATAAAGCGGGTTAGCATTCAACAATGGATCGCATTGTCTCACCTGCTCCGCTGGATCAACATGTATTCGATTAGTATCCCCCAATACGCCAAAGTGATAAATAAAGCGCTTACGGAAGATACAATACGTCATGTACCACTGACCTTGTAGTTTGAGCACCAAGTGAGGAAGTGCCGAAAATCGTCAAGGATAGACGTTCAGCTGATACCGATGATGCAGAGATCGCGTCTGTAAGTAATTTTAGCGCACAAATCTTTTCATAATGTATACAAACTAACCTTAGCTAGACAATCGACATTATGAATATATATTTAAGTCGTTAATAAGCGCAGATATCTGCACGTTAACGTTATGCCTATTCACATGTCCGATTGTAATCGACAACTATATTCAGTTTGTCATCTATTAAAGAATTTACGAATAGGCTTCAGTTTATTTATACACTCGATATAAGTAGGCAAAGAAATTGACCTGTTATGTCTGAATTTGGGACCAGTCTCAGTTTTGGATTGAGACATGTCCCAAACTCAGACACAACACAATCATGCGTTATGGCCAAGTGAATATCCTCAGCATCTTTACAACAAGAATATATTATTGATATAATAAAGCGAGCAAGTCGGATTATATACAATAGTCGACGCATAGGATTGCTGTTATTGATCAACCACACTACACAGCTAGAATGCCAATTCGCACGACTGTAATAACGTTTAAGCTATGTATAAAAGACGAATAAATTAATTAAAACTCTATAACAAGTGCGTTATATTGTTTGTCATAACCGTCATGCGAAGTCGCAAAAGGAAAGAAAAGTATGTCAGTCAGTTTCCATTTTCAAATCGTCAGAATCATAAATAGGGCCTTAAAGCAAAGAATATGACTTGGCAATTACGCCATTTCTACAAAGAAACATAATTTATCATGCTACCCACTACTTAATGGGCAAATGAATTAACCTTATTGAAAGCTTTCCTGACTTTTCCGTCTCAACGCCGTACCTTTAACCATGTGACTCACGCATCTAAACCGGAATTCGTGTACCCTTGCATTGATTGTATTCTGTCTATATTCAAAATACAAATCAAACTGTTCCGTTTTCACTGACTCCATCATGCAGTGAGCTTGGCACTTTATTCAAATATATGCAATCATAATCATGCTGAATGTGTTATATTTTCATGATATTGTAGGAAATGTGATTGATCCACGACTTGTCAATGGTCAAAAAGTTTACCAGTAGAGACATTCATTACCGATTGTAGCCAACATTCTACCGACCCATCTTTCTCGTGCGCAACAGATCAGCTACACTAACATTCGGTATTGTGACTGAAATTTGTCGCTTTAAGTGATATTTTTACATTATCAGAAGTTTTTTCCTGGTTTCATTTAATCTATATGCCGGTTCTATCCGACCCCAAAAAGAGAAAATATGATAACAATCTTCAAGGATTTTCTAATAATGAAACTTATGATGAAGGCTTTTTACTAATGAAGTGGTTTTTGGTCGTTGTGTTAGGTCAGACGGCGTTTACCTTTATCTTCTTTGGTTTTTAATTCAGCTTCTTTTTGGAGTTCGGTGTCTCTTCGTCTTTGAGCTATCTTCAGTAGAATTCTTTTTGGTAAATTTTGCTCTTTCAATTGTTCGAGTCGCTTGGCGAGGCTGTCGAAAATTAATAGGGATTGACCGCAAAGAAACCGCATTTAGAAAGAATATATTTTGATACTGGTTTTTTAAATTGTTGTAAGAGATAACCAAAGCAAAATGGCTTACTTGTAATATAAGCAGTCTATAAATCTTTACCTTGTAGGCATTTATGAATTAAAACAGAGTCAATGCCTGATCATCTTTCAGTGAAACTATTACTATGGTATGTATATATTACATATTCTATGCTGTTGACAACTTTTCTTCTGTATCAAGAATATGGCAATACGCTTTATCAATAACGTGTTGCAAGTTCTGATTAAGCACACGTCGTTGAATGTAAAAGTAGTCTGTTTAGAACAACGCTGACGATAAAAGCCATTTTACAAATTTATGCATAACTGTAAATTTGTCTTGGCATAATTATCGTTGAACTTTTAATTGATATGGTTCTTCCATTAATTAAAAGTTTATATTGACATTATAAACGTTTACTTGCGTAGCTACAGTGTAAAATAAAATAACTAGTTTTATAAACAGATTTTGGCCAACATTAAAACCGTTTGTTCACAAAACTGATAAAATTGTATTATTATTTTCTACTGAACGTGCTTCTATCTATTTTAACAGAAACATTATAATTATATTTATTTTATTTTGTCTAAATTATTCAAACCATCAATAATGATATGGAGTAGCCCTGCATGTATGCTAAAAATGCGGCATTAATAACTTCAAGAAATTTGTTTATACCATTTTATAATATTAACAATAGCTAAAAAGTAGAATTTATCTGCTATCACAAATCCTATTCGATTTACAAAACGAACAGATAAGACAATGAATTAAATTTTTGCAAATGTGCTTTTACTCACAGTTGTGACGTTATGTCAGCATGTAGTCAATTGTGACCTGCAGTTGCTTTTATCCAAACAACCAAGAGGTTGCATTTGTATCGTGCGCACCAGTTGACGATACGCGGATACATACGTGTAGTAAGACAGGAAAAACCTAATCGATTATGAATAAGCTGACAAATTGTTGGCACTACCTTCAGCCTTCTTACGTTACGGATTATTTTCGGGCAAAATCCTGAGGTACCCGCGAACACACAAACTACGCAAAAATTACTATATTAATATGAGCCGCTGCTAACTAATATGAGCAACGCAAACTCGTTGTCTACCGGTTTGGGATACAAGTTATTTCGCTATATCTACGCTCAAACAATGATATCGCCAACACAACGGGTATGAATAACTTACTACAAAATAATAATAAAGAAAATAATTATGTCATTTTATATCGTTTTATTATTATAGGCGTGCAAAATATTTAAACTGAGTTGCGTTTGACAAGTCTCTAGTAATAGTAAGTAATACAGTCTATGTGTTATGTGTGAGTTTGGGACCTGTCTCAATTCAGAACCCAGTCACTCGGTCTAAAGTTGATAACTGAAGTACAAAAATATATGTAGAATAGTAGATTTAAGAGACACTCGACACCAAATGTTCTTGCTTTTTAAATAAAACACATTAATAGACATTAATTTTACTAACTAATCAAATGACTTTTAAGAAAGGTTTTATTAAAATATTTATTAATGTTAATATTTTATGTAACAAAAATTCTACTATTGATTATCTTGCAAGAAAATGCACAAACACAGTATATTAATATTAATATTAATATTTTATGTTATAGATTATTTGTCGAAAATTCCAAGCCATCTCGTCAAATTGGATCATTGTTAAATTTCTACTTCGCCCGATGACCATTTTTCTGACCTGGGTATATCGCATCTTCGTTGTTATATATATAGTTTGGCTTAAAAATATTTTATATTAAAAGTTTGAGGCGCTGTATAGTTAAACATTCACAACTTCAAGTCCCAAATTCAAACGCAAATTTTGATTTACTAATTGCAACCGTCGAAGTAATTTTGTCCACAAATAAATTTCACCGGATTTTGACACGACGCAAACACTACGTTGTTGGAATGCGGCCAATAATTACTGAAACTCGTATTATAGTTAAAATAAGTATCCTCGAATTAGTTCACATTAGTGCTCGAGATTAGGACAGTCTTCAATAATTTTGTCACGTGTTCGCATCCTGTAAGTACATTGATCATCTACTAAACTACTTTTTAGAAAATCTCATTCGTAATTTTTCATGAAAAACTCTTTGTAATGTTTTAAATGTTTCCGGCTATTTGTCTTATTCTCCCTATTTCTGCTATTATTGCAACATGTCTGGTAACCATTTGTCCTTATGTATTTTACAGCTGCTTTTGTTGCTTCTTCAAGCCTGCTAATCAAACAATGTTAGGTGAGAGCACAATCTCTCAGAGCAATTAATACATTTGATACTTGTAAATAGAGACTCAAATAAATGATTCTGGCAACTTAAATAAACCGTTCATAATAGTCTTTAATGTTTTTAATTTAACGCAGTGAAGCGAAAAGTAGTTCCAAAGTAGATAGATCTTACCATCCTAGAACTATTACGCGTAAACCCGGTGTTATATGTTTCATCATTAATATTAACTTCAAAGAAGAAAATTGACGACTGTCTACTACTACGCTATTACTATGTACGAATATACGTCACGCAATTTTGATTACGTTTTCTGCATAGTATATTGCATGCGCACGAAATTATAATTTCCAACCTATTATAATAATCCTTGTAAAAAACCAACTCTATTAAATATGCCATCAGTAAATCACTTAGACTATTACAGTAATGTACGCGTCAATGCTTTGATGTTGGTTTATTTATACAATGATAAAAATCAGTGTGTACTAGAGCTAAAAAACAATATGTACATTAAATATAGTTTCCGTCATAATAGACGCTACATTAATTACGTATCCCACCAATCACCCATATATATATTAACTCTCCCAATATCCTTTGTACAAACTCTTAAATCATCATATCATTCTTGTCATGACATTTTCACAGCAACAAATCGATCCTGCTTCTGCACACCCAAACAACTCGTCCACTTCGTCTATCGATACACCCTTTGCTATTAACATCTCCAATGCTTTTTCACTCACGTCGTTCTTAAAATCCTTATACATCTTTAGCCTTCTTAACGATTCTGGCATACTTTCTAACTCTCCATCACTGATTAAGCTGTGCATTCTAAATTCCTGCAAACTCTTCAAAGACATCAACATTTTAATCCTCCTTGCTACTTCATCATTGTCTTCAACCATCCATGCTTGTGATCCATATCTTGGCTTTAGTATGCACAGATCAAAATATTGAAGGCTACTAGCATATCTCTCCCCAATTGTCTGATATAAATCAGCTGAAATTGATGTGTATATTCTCAATATCAGTGTCTTCAATTGAGGTGCATTGTCGGGTAGCATTTGTATCCATTTGTTTCCATATGCAACGTAAGAATCATCATCTTTTTCTTCGTATTGTACGTGATATACATAGCCTAAAATCTTTAGATATTCAAGTGTAGAAGGTAGCTTTGCGTGCATCCAATCGACAGGAAGGGAAGGATATCCGACACTTAGATGGGTAAGAACACGTGGGAGAGCAAATACTCCATATGGAAGTGTACACTTAGATACGTCAAGTTGATGCAGATTGTACGGATAAATGTCTGAATTATTAAGAAGTAATGATTTATCCCAAAGTTCATATTCTGCATCTTTGTGAAGAAAATCTTGGCTGTCGAGAACGTAGTGCCGATGTCGTGGATGATTTTGAGTAAATATAAGTTCCGAAATGTGATTGGGAAGTGAGTCACGGGTAAGATTGGTGTTTGACAGAGATGAACTGTCGATAATGAGTTGAATGGTTTTGAGACGAGGAAGGAATGACTGAATTGATTTCGACAGAGATCCATCAGAAAACAATAGTGAGAAATCGATCGCCAGGTAGTTGATATTGCTGAGATGTTGCAGCGCTTGTACCAACTTGCGGGATGATACTATCAAGAGAGATTGCATTAGTGTGAGTATTATCAGAGGACAGACATAGTAACTTTATTGATCGGTTGTTTTTTTTTTTGCTTACTTTTAGGGCAATCAATTATACGTAGTTCACGTAGGCTATAGGGTAAATTCATCAATCTGCGAGTAGAGGAGAATAAAAGCTTTGTCAATACTGAAATTGAGTAATATTTAATGGCATCGTCGTCTAACGTTCTATAATATCTTGGTGAAGGTCAGTTACAAAACGTCGTTTCCGCAACGTTACTTACCCCGCTCCATTAAAATTCCTGCATCCTTGAACTGTGAATGATTCAAGATTCGACAAGTTACCCTGAAGCCACTTTGAGATGTCCGACGAGTGTAGTTGATTGTCTTTGCTATTTGTAATTGCAAGTCGTTGAAGGCCGAAAGGGTATTTGGCAAACTTGTGTGGTATAAACGTCTGTTATGGGAGGGTGGAGGGGAAAGACATTGAGCATGGAAACAGAATAAACAGATGATCTCTTGAGCAACATCAAAAAGACCCCCTTGCCCCTTTATGCAAAGTTCGTCCGATGCAGATTATATTCTCCCCTCTGCGGTCGTTAACTTGCCACTTACCATAATACGCCCTATGTCAATATTCCATTCGACTACCGATTCGAGTACGATCGTGTTCCACATTTTACATGTTAATCGGAGCACTTTTCTACTTCTCTCCGCTTCTGAAATTTGGTCCATTGTATATGCATACATGTCATTATAGTTTGCGTCCCATGATAGTTGGCTTTTATCCGGACAGTTTCTCCACACTTGCAAAGCATCAACTGGCTCGACGAGGAGAGCAAATATGCGTATTAACACCTCAACCGGGAGGTTATTGAGTGACAACTTGTTATTCCGTATGAAAGTGTCGGAGTTGGAAGTCTCAGCGCGAATGCTTTTGATGGATGTTAATTGCAAATATAAAGGAATACGAGCTTGTGTCTGTGAACGGAGAGAGCGGAGTCTCGTTCGAAGCATTCTCTTCTAATGTTTGGGAATTGTGAACGTGCATACATTAATAACGGATAAAGCGATAGCCGATAATTTTATTCATTGTAATATCCAAAAAAATATCTCAAATTGCCGTTGTTTATTCATGATAACGTCATTGATGCATCGGCACACTCAAATACGTACAAATTTTTTGATATTCGCAATGCCATCTTTTCGTATCATCCCGTAGCGCGATCGCTTCAATAGTTTGTCTTCAGACAATGAAGTAACACCAGGCATAGCTCCGATTCTTTAAATGTTTCCTTTCAAGTATATTGTGAGAAATCTCGTTGATCAAAATAAGAACTGTATTTATAGAAGTGGCTGCAACAATGTGATTGAAATGCAGCAATGAAATATTGTCTATTTATTATTGTTCTCTACTCCTGGTTAAAAACGTTGCGGGTCGGGGAGGAAAAAAATCGTGCAGTATACAGTGTTCTTTTTATATGTTCAGGAATTTATGGCACAACCCCCATTTAGAATATTAGAAAATTGAGATCGACCGAGTAAGTTGTGGCAATTACAGTAGACGATAAATGATGGACTATTACAATAGTGAAACCGGTTCAGTTTTTCAATAGTAGGCTTTTAGAATGTCGAATGAGATTGAATATTTTGTATTGATATAAACATTTATGTCTATACAACATCTAACATGCATAATTATTAATTATGTGTTGGCAGCGTAATACTGTGGAAGGCTTTTAATTGCTGAAATAATCTTGGAGTAAGCAGTCAATAATCAAATATAATATACGAGCCAGCCAATTTCTCTTTCCTTAAGACACAACTTGGTGCATCAACTTAATATTTGCATTGGAAATTACTCTTGCATGCGTTCAGTTGATTCCAGTTGCATATATGTCTGTGAAGCCATCTCGGTATTATTATTTGATATTAATATTAATTTCGTGAAGTTCATAAATAGCGTTCATTCTGTTACATCGCCTGACCAGCCAATCTTTATCCATCTGAGATAACAAACAAAATGATAGTAAATACTGTCGATAAGATAATTGATGTTTGGCTTCGTAAGACCATTATGGTTAGTTGGCTGGTATTTAATATGACACTAACCACTAAATCGTTACGATGTTATGGCCCGTACTGAATTACCCTGTCCAACTTAATTCCTTTTATGCACAACGTTCATGTCAATGTATTCCATTCGCAGTCGAACGCTACCATAACAACAAACATTACTACTGTTACCATCACCTTCTCACTTCTTTTATTCCATAGAAGGTTTCACCCATGCCGTTTCCCTAAATCCCTGACGAGAAGCAATTCTAAGAACTTGCTCTTCCGTTCTGACAACATACAAATACTCGATCGCTTGGATTTATCGGATGAAACGGGAAAACAAGATAACCGGTAGACTATTGGTAGTTCTCTACATCAGTTATTTCATATTCACCAGACCAAACAACACATGTCGACTGGTTCCATATTAATATGCTCTAGTACAAATCCAAATACTGTACGAATTGGAGATCACTTTTAGGAAACACAATCAAGCACCATCAATTACCAGATTTTCTTGTAAAATAGTGAAAGAAAGCAGTATCACGGCAGTATTTGTCAAACTTATCAGTCACACACTTATGTTGGATCTCTCATTTACCTTGTCAATCGTACCACAAATGTCGAGACCAAGTTGTTTAATCCGTTCCCTCGTCTAAAGATTACGACAATTCCCGCCCTTGTCATCCCCCAAGCAAAAAAAAATATTACACCCCCTGCAACAAGTCAATCTGTGTGCCAATGTCGACATTATGTTTATTACAGCTCATACTTCTTTCATAAGGCGAATTATAGAACGCAGTCTCGGCGTAGCAATTGTATAATCGCATTGTGAGTGGAAACAATCTATAGCCATTGAGCATAATATACTGCGATAAGGGATGGTCTGAATACATTATGCTCGGAGCGGAGATAAGTTATTCAACTGCCGATGTTGTCATATACACGTCATCCTTTTTTTCGCCTAAACAATGAAATGGCTACGTTTCTTTGTTAAAAGTCTTTGGTAAAATGTGCATTTTGTATGAGCCTGTAACAATTATGTAACACATCGCCTGACTTATAAATAGTTTTTTTTTATCTCATAGAAATTGCACATGTCAATAATCGGCCTATAAGAATAGGTTTACCAAAATACCCGCAGCATGGTACTGGAACGTCACAGGACAATAGTTTGTTACAATATGTATTGTACGATTTGGCTGTTTCGACTAAAACGCTTCTTCTATTTATTTAGGAATTTCTATGTGAATGCGCCTCTTATGATCAACGCTATAAGAAGTCCCTATTGTATTTTTCGAGTGAACGATATCAAATTGCTGGGCGATATGATCTTTTCCTCCCTTTAATAGATTTATAATGCATAAGGAAGCATATATTTATTGACTGCCAGTCTCAACCTAACTGTAATATTATTAATAGTACTTGAAAAAGTGATTTAATTCATAATTTTACGGACACTGTTACAACTGTTTAATCTTCTTATTTCACATATAGCTAAAGAAATTCTCAGCGAGAAAGTAGTAAATTTAATAACCACCATGCTGGACGAACCGTATAGTTCCCATTACAGTGCATTCGTAATTGCTCTGCCTATTGCTGTAGGTTCATCTCTTTAAAACTGTGTACTCAAATACTGTTATTATTTACTAATAAACTTCTGCACCAATGTGATACAGATATTCATACAGAATGCTTTCCTGTCGGTATTTCACCTCACAAGACATCACAACTATGTGTCCGCGACATTGAAAACACTTTTCAATCTTAGCGGTGCTGGAAGGCTTTTAGTTACATTTACTGTTATCATGCTACCCACAATAACCACGAAGCAATGTAGCGATATGACGTTTGTGCATTCATTCATTTCGATGCTCTACAGAGAATCTCTCGCAGCCTTTTTATTATGGCGATTGATTCACATCACGAATTCTGTTTGGGACAAGCACATTTCTTTAATTTTATTATTGACGAGGACTGGGCTACAGGTAAAAAAACGATCCGAAACTTGTGTGATATTCATATTGTTTAGTGTTATTATCATGTTTCTAATCGCGGCTTGCTTATTCTTCAATCGAACAGATATTTCAAATAGTAGCAGATCAACTCGCGACTCGCTCGACCCCCGAGTCTTGTAACGTTATCGTCCATGATAAATTGGCAACAAGCATGTTCGTCGTAACAGACTATTTGATAGACTTGTACATTACAGTACGTCTGGCACAAATACTTGGAGGCGCCAATCGTAAATATAGGCGCTCTGTATCAGTTCCAAGAGATTCCAAACGAACTTTATTTACTGCTGTTCTCTGGTGGAATTTTTTAAGAGTTTTCGTTGCGACATTGGTAGACTCTCTTGCATTATATACTGTGACAACAGCAAATTTTGATCCAGTTCTTTTTAATACTCTACAAGCAATCACTTGCATTGCCATGTCATACGTATTGACGTTTGATGCTGATATAGTGAGAACAATTCAAGGAAAGACGACAACGTATGGCGGTCACCACGATCGTGAAACGGGTAGCAGAGTTGGACATACAAGTGTTTCAGAAGTAACGGTGATAAATGAAACGCAGCCTGAGATCTTGCAGGGCAGAATAAAAGATGAGGACTTGGAGAGGAATGAAAACAAAACCCATGTTGGCTCTGGTGCATGGTTACCAAGAGGAGGTTCCATAGTATCTGAACATTAAATTTATGTATTATTATATAATTAATTCGAGTATTATTAATACGGTTATGAGATCTTGTATACGTTAATAATAACAATAAACATTATGAAAGACTCATATTAGTTAGTCACAGAGGTCATATTATAAAACACAATGGCAGAACCATTTAACTGTCAAGTATTTGCGTTTAGGGCATGCTGAATCAAGCTTGTGCTCTGACAGAACAACCCCTCTTTGCAGTCGAAAACAGGAAATTGTTTACACGGGATAAAGACAGACGTATAAGTTTGAACTCGATATGGAAACAATGTTTCGCCTCTTATTATTATTCGTTAGGGCTTTTTGTTTACAGTGAAAAGAAGCGTACCATGTGAGAACAATATTTAAACTTATGATTATTTCCATTTCCGTCATAACAATATCGGGTAGGTTTGACCTGACCCAATAATTTATACAAATGCATATGATCAATTTTGCCGTTATTTTCACATAACCTGTTTGACGTTTCCTCCGACTTGTCAAGCAAAGTCTTATCAGAAACTTTCACTTATTGCAAAGTCAGCCTTTTCTTCATTTGTTATCGATTCTAAAAGCGGAATTGCGTTCCGTAATCTCCTGCATGCCGTCCATTGTCTACGCCACATATCATGCATATATTTACTCCGCGATTTCATAGTCAAATTGGGGCTTTAAACGTAAACTCTGTCGCATATTCGGTAACTGAATCGTTCTTTTAATATTCATTACGGTCATCAACAGAACGAAAAATCATGAATGATACCGGAACGTTTTACGCCATTCTGTGTATCAATGCATGAACACGCGAATACGTAACTTAAACAAGAACATGCTGATGTCTTTGTTTACAAGTATTACGTAGCATCGTGTTCATATTGCATCTCCTGATACTGAGCGAAATACCCACCCCCCTCTGTGAGCATCTCTATGATATTCTCACAATTACAGCGCTCGTTATCCTCGCATTAGTATCAGGAAGGCATTGAAACTGATTCAACGTCATTATGTCAAAGCAACCAAACCATGATTATCTCTCATTATATGTTACACGGAACAGATTAATTAGCATCCTGTTTCCCTTCAATTGTCATTTGTCAATATGAATGTGAAAACAGCTCAACATTTATACTAACATCATTAGAAATTTAACTGTTAATAGTAATATTGATAATTAGGTCTAGAAGATCAGAAAGCCCAAAATCGGCATGAATGCTTTGGATTTATCAGATTAATATATTCTCCTTGCCACAGCAAATTAAACCACGGTAGTGGATATAATATAATTATATTATACACACTATTCCCTAGTTAGGTTATACCCCCGCGGCAAGACAAGTCATTTGTATCGTCATTTGAGATCGCGCTTGTGTCGTCATAAATTCAGACGAGCGATATGATTGGTCATATATCTTTTTTACCGCGGCATTCAGCTGGGAAGAAAGCAGAGCAATTATCAACCGAGGGATGTCAACTAAGGAATGCCGATCAAGGAAGAAAACTTATCAACGTCAGCTGATAAATTTACATTTGCGTCGTCATTGTCAGCGAAATTAACTAGTGGAAGAGTCATTCTAATACATTTCTCTGTAATAACTTTACCTTGATGTATTACTAATTACATACCCCAAAATAAATTCATTGTCGCCAGCTACTTTATAGAACAATTAATAATGAATGTATTGCCAATCTCTTTTGTATCAAGCGGATGGCTTGTACTCGATAGCTTACACACAGAGTGCATGCACGCTTTGCGCGTAACTGGCAGCTGTTAACCAGAAATGCTGAATCAAAATCCGTATTTTAATTTTACATAATATATTCGAAGATACTGTAAGATACAAAATGATGTTTTTTGAATATATTATAAGAATGTTATCTAAATTATATAAATGACATAGGAATATAAAATTTTTCTCAGTACGAAGAAATATTCTGGAACAGCGAACGGCACGTGTTTTGTTTTTTTTTTTGCTTAGGTAAACGCCTTTAGATAGCGATAAAAAATTCGCGAAATATAAATTCATATTATGTCTGGAATACTATTATTGTCATGTCTTGGCCTCCAAAACGTAAATTATATATCAAAAATTGACGACAAAATTGTGTTTGCATTGTAGCTTATTGTAATTGTTGAATAATATCTGTTTTCTATGTAAAGGAGAAGCCAAAATTGATGCAGTTGAGAAGATATGGAAGAAAATTCTCAGCGACATTAATAATATTGTAAATATTTCGGGTTGGGCACGAAAATTTTGGACAGCAGTCCGCACTTTTTAAAAATTTTAGACAAATTGAACCACTTTTTTAGGTATCGATAAAAAATTTGTCCCAAAATTATGCGTGACATGTTTTCAACTTTTCTTCTGTAAGTAAATGGTCAATTGCTTTGCGAATACCGTGAATAAGCACCACCCTTAACATGGTAGTATACGGTATTTATAAATTAATTTACACAAATTTACCATTATTTAAAGCGCGAAAAAAAAGCGCTATAAATTATAAATACTGTCTGATTGCTGCTTCATTGAGAAATCAAATTTTGAATCTAGGATACTATTAGCAGTCATCGACTACCGCTAAATTTGTAATCCAATTGCAAATATTGACATAATAATAGTAAGTAGTGCAATTACCTATGAATTTAATACTAAAGTCGGTGCACAACGTATTTACAAAAACATGTAGCTTTTAGCTACATGTATAGTAAAATTTTGTATAAACAACTTTTGTGTCACGACAAGACCAAACATCAAGTTAAGAGTTTATTGTTAAAAATTCAATTTACGTAACAAATTACAAGCAAAAAAATTATTTCGATACAAAGACCTTTACTTTATAGTTATGTATAACTACTACCGTAGAGCACTGAATATAAGTACCCCGGGTACATATCTAGAACACCTCAAGTTTTTGAATTGTACCCGGGAGATGTACCCGGGGTACTGTGTACGGAGGAGGGTACTATTTTAGGGGGGTACTTTGAAATTCCTTCATAGAGTGTTGTGATTGGTCAATTTTATCATATTAAAGTTCATCAGACTTTATCTCTATTTCTTAGCTAACGCGATGGCGCCTCGTGGAAACAAGTGTGTGAAAAGGGCTACTATAAGAGAAGTTCAGGAAAATGCTCCGCTTGTTAACGATCATATAACTATCGATGAACAGATCGGTGATAATCATTATGATGAGAATGAATTGAATTATGCAAATCTTTGGGATAATTAGTTCCTGCATGGTGGGTTTTGTAGTTCGATCTCTCTTTCGACCACTAGAATTTGGTTGATATCTTGTTGACTGGCTGCGAGACAGCGACTTTTTGGTTGGTTGTATGCGTTTATTACGCGTTAAGTACATCGATGAGTGTTTTTTGTACTGAAGTACATATCGTTGATAAATAATAATAAACTTCATACTGTTGTATTGTATGTATTAGTATGTGTATCATGTGACATATGATATTTGTACCCGGGTACATTTCAAAAACTTTCGCCAAAAATTCTTGAATTATACCCGGGTATATTTCAAAAATTTCGCTAAAAATTCTTGAATTGTACCCGGGTCTTAATTTAGGGGGGTACTATATTCAGTGCTCTACGGTAGTAATATTGATTTTCTACCATATTCTCCAAACACCTCTCCATTAAATACCAAATCCTTTAATTTGTTTCTAGGATTCAAAGCTAAACCAGCAATTGAGATTAATCCCACCATTATGAATCCAATTTTATGGCATGCAAAATATATAATATCTGATGGAAACGAGGAGCTTAGTAAATATTTCTGGTACTGGCATGCATATCTAGTACAACGACCATCTAAAAAACCTGGAACAATTCAAGTATTGCGTTCCTTACCAGGTTGTGGAAAACTTAATTAATTTCATAGTAATAGGTAAGAAAGTCCTTGGATCAGAACTTTTCTATGCAACATCCGACCTTGGAAAAATATTAGGGCGCTTTAATAGTTGTATTCAGGCTCGTAAACTAATCGTTATGAATGAAACAGGTATGTCTAGTGGAGACTGGCATAAGTATAATGATCATCTTAAATCACTTATTACAGAAGATTATTTAACTGTTGAACGCAAAGGTATCGAACCGAAAGTCATAAAAGATTATGCTGGATTTGTGGTATTAAGTAATCACGATGCTCCACTCCGAATAGAAATGGGGGTGACCTAGACCGGCGTATCGTGTGTTTTGATGTACAAAAATTTTTGGAATTTTTTATTTACTCATAATCTAAATATAAAATTAGTAACTTATTCTTTCACCGTTGTTTTCTATTATTATCTCACATCTCCTTCTCATCGATCTAATACAGTTAATTAGAACACTATTCGGAATTCTATCCCATTCTTCTGCCATATACTGCTCTAATTCTAAAAGATTTTTAGGCATGCGCATTTCTACACTTCTTTTGACAATTGCCCAAAGATTTTCGATTGGGTTCAAGTCTGGACTATTGGAAGGCCAGTCCAGAACTTCCGGAAAATTTTCGCTAAGAAATGCCCGAGCAACCTGACTTGTATGCTTCGGGTCATTATCTTGCTGGAAGCGCCAATCGTTTCTAAAAAGTCGGTTAATTTCTTGCTTATGATTGCGCAAAATATCAACGTAAAACTTCGCATTCATGATGTTTCTAAAACAAAATAGAGAAGTTTTTCCGTGTATACAAAATCCTCCCCATGCGAAGATTTTAGTGCGATCTTTGGGAATCCGCTGTACTGGCCGTTCACCCTTATACCATTGAGTTATTGTAATTCTGAATAACTTAAGGGCAGTTTCATCAGAAAACAATGTAGTCTCCCAATTATCATTGAGATGTCTGGTCGCCCAACTAACACGAGCTTCTTTATGAGCAACAGTAAGCATAGGTGTCTTTAAGGGCAGACTGTTTTTGTAACCCAATCTTGCCAAATGTCTTAAAATTGTCATGTGAGATACCTTACTGACATTGTTTGTCAATTTAATCGCCAAATGTCTTGTAGACAGTTTTGGATTATGACGCAAATATTGAGCTATTGCTCTTGATTCATGCGCAGTAACTTTTTGGGGGCGACCGCTTGCTAACTTTCTTGAATTGTCCCCTTTTTCATTCAGTTTTTTTAGATTATAATAGATAGTTGACAATGTGATGCCAGTTCTAGAATGTATTTCTTTTGCAGAAGTGATTCCATTCAGCCACAATTGTAATATAAGTTTTCTTTGAGTTTCTTTATCAGAAGACATTGTTGTAAAAGCAATTTCTCAACAAAAACAAAACAAACCCTATTTAAAACTTTATTACATGTTTAAAATATGACGCGTATTGCTTTTATTTTGGAAAAGTTATTGACAATTGAAGTACGCGAAAAAAATTCCAAAAACTTTTGTTACACACTGTATCTTCTCGTTGTAAGGCAACACAGCATATTTTAAAAATTTAGCCAAAGTGTTAGAGCATCCCGACGCGCCTAATGTAGTTATGGCTTATTTACTTAGTCTTGATCTCTCAGATTGGAATCCACAAGATATTTCTGCTACTAAAATGAAACAGATACAAGGCTGGAACATTTACCAAACCCTACTCGATTTATAATTGATCATATTTCGTCATGGTCTGAAGATCGAGTTGAGATACAAAGTCGTACGATATTATATCAAGAGTATCGGGCCTGGTGTGAAGCTAATGGTGAGAAACCCTTTAGTAATAATATACTGTATTAGGTAAAAAATTTACAAAGATTAATATCGAAAACAAACGGGCGGGTAGTGGAAAGAGAGAGTGGCAGTATATCCTTGATCGATCTAAAATCGTGGCCAAGTTACGTGAATCGGTAGGTAATATTGAGGAATTTTCAGACACACCTCAAACTGAGATACCCGCCAACATATCCACAGATATTCCTATATTCAATGTCCCAGAAATCGTAACTCCCGAATCAGAAAAAAAGATAACAGAACCATTAGCCACCGATCACATCGAAAAAGGTAAGAAAACATCCATCCCGCCAGTTACTAAAATGACCCAGAATCTCTTCAATTCTATAACAAATGAAAGTTCAGTTGCTTCGTCATCTGTGTCTACCAATATACCCATGTCTCCCGAAATCGTGGATGTAGAAGTTATTATTATGGGCGATGAACTTGAAACTCCTGAGATTATCGAATCAATAAGTGATGAGGCCAGACTATTAGTGAATGAAGAGCCCGAGATATCTCCCGACTTACCTGCGAATGACGAACTAAAATCTAGCAATAAAGAATCCCACATCCAATCGAAAACATATCCATCTGGTTATTTAACCCGGGAGCAACGATGGACTATAGATCATAATGAGAATCCCGATAAGTTCGTGACCATTACAGATAAGACAAAACTGATTCAATAGACTATCTCACAAGGATAGATGTTGACGCAAATACCTGTCTCTTTAATATAGAACAAGGTAATGATCCCCACGATTTTATGGAAATGACGCATCGGGAAAGATTGATAGGAGAAGAAATCTTACGCCGTAGACTTGAAGATGCAGGTGAATGCATATGGCTTGACACTGATGAAGAATGGATAAAAAATAAAACCATACTCCAGGAAAATGGATTGCTATGGTAAGGTATTACAACTCGGTTTGACCGTTATGATAAGGTGAGAATAAAAAGATTTTATAGGTAGAAACATCCAATGGAGGGGGCTTTTTTGTCTCTTCAAACTAGACAATATAAAAATTTCCAATAAAAATATTACAAACAATATGTTCTCATGCTCTATATTTACCGTAAACAAAATGAACGATCAAGAATTAGAAACTCCAGAAAAAGTACTTAACCTATTAACTGACCGGATGATAAATGTGAATGGACCAACATTCCGCAAATTAATACGCAATGGATGTATACATGTTAGTGATTTATCGAATTACTCAGAAATATCTGAACATCTCTATTATGGTTGTTCAGATCACACAGTCGTCTTATTTAATATATGGAAGTCGGCAGTAATACACCACCCGAAATATTACAAAACAGACCGGACATATATCGCAAATATCTTATAACTGTTGAATCGTGCCAGAATTTATTTGGATTAGATGTACTAAATAATAGAAAAATGAATCATAACCTTAATATAACCTAAACTGAAGCTATAAAATTTTTCATTATCTCCCATTGCATTAGTAAATTTCAAATCGCCGTCCCAGTTACCCATACATAGCCATATACTCTCTTTTTCTGAGCAAAGGAGGAAAAAGTATAATTAATTTCGATTTGAAAAAATATTTTTATAGTGTATATAACCTAAAGAATTGTTCATAAACTACTTGACCTATTATAACATTCAATCATGTCAGCCATTGCAACTAAAATCGTAGAAAAATGCAATCTCAGCTCCGAGATGAGTGTGACCGATCTCAGTCGATACACCTCAGAGTTTCTCGAGAATCTTACTGATGATA